CTTCAAAGAGAGGATAGACAAGTTTCACTTTCATTTCAGTTTTACATGGTAATGTTTTAGCGAAAATGCATGTGTTCAGGAAGTATTGAGGATACGACTGGATAAGTGAGAGTTAGATTTACTACATGAGTTGTGTGAGGGTTTGTAAACAGATGGGTTTTTTTTTCACAAATAGTTGTTTTGCTGTTGTTAAACATGGTCCCCAAATCAATCAATAAATCAATATTTTTGCCGTTTTCCATGGAAGCATGCAGAAAAACAAAGTTGTTCTTTTTTTTCACAAATTCAAGGTAACACACATGAATTGATTGCTGAACGGGCTTACTGGGCTCAGGTGAGAGGAAGAGACTCAAAGTTACCCCAAAAAGACTCAGAATTACCTCAAAGACACTCAAGGATACCTCAGACAGACTCAAAGTTAACTCAGAGAGACTCAGAATTACTTCAAAGACACTCAAAGTTATGTTGAAGAGAGATAAAGAAACCTCAAAGAGATGCAAAGGAACGGCAGAGAGACACAAAATAACTTAAAAAATGAGCAAAACAACCACGAAGAGACACAGAACCACCAAAAATACACATTACCTCAATAAGACACAAAAGTACCTCAGTAAGACAAAAAATGACTTCGAAGAGATGCAAAACAATCACAAGGAGACACAACATGACCTGAAAGCATTGGTATAGTGGTAGCTGATAAAGTGGGCGTAGGCTACTACTAGGACATGGGTATGTTACTGAGGAGGAGGTAGGTATACTCTCTTATATTTTCAATGGCTTTTTGGTTGATCGAAGGGTACACTCTAACTGACCAGAACAGATGTGGCTATACCATGCATACCTGCATACACCAACCGAAAAAGATATAAAACCACAAAAAGATGCATATAGACAAAAAGAGACTCAAAACCACCACAAAGTCTGTGTCTTGCTACTACATGCTGAGGCCTTTTGCATATCTGTGCCCAGTGGCCAATGGTCTCATAAACCATCCATGAGCTAGCACAGCATTAATAACTGATATATAAATGGTGATTTTGTGGGTTAAGTGCTCCTTTAAGCACACTCAAGGACATGTGATCATGTAAAGTACCAGATCAATATGGAGAAGGAAGAGACTGAATAATAATGATGCTGCATGTAGGATGGACCACATTTCAGATGACATCATGCCATTAATTCTTGCTTTGGACAAAGGTAATCAGTTGTATACATTATGGTCATTATTATTACACACACACACACACACACACACACGCACACACACACACACACACACATTAATTAATTTGAATAAGTCAAACAAAGCAACTCACAGTAAACTCACAGTACAAGTAGCTATACTTAACCTAATATTTGTTTTCATTTCTATGACATTAATTTCCTTCTGTTATGCCTCATCTCACCACCTACATATGCCAGCATTCAGCAGGTTCAGTGTACATTATGCATTAGGATGTCTGCTGTTGCTGCTGCTATGGCAATGTTTGCAGCCTTGCGTTCATTCTTAAAGACACGCCGAACATAGAGCTGTGAAAATAGATACAAACAAATGTCTTGTGTGACCTTCAGTGCAGTCCTTCAGTCATGAAGGGTCTGCCGTATTCACTTCGTCTTGCCTGTTTATCACATCTGCTCAAGTCTTCTCACATTTATCAAAGACATTGTGCCACCACAAAGCTCAGAGAGCAGCTTCTTACTTTTAATCAAAAGTGAGTGCGTATAAAATCAAACACTTGTGATCTTGGCCGTGACCCTGTTTTTCCATTATTATCAAGAAAAGTTGATGGAGGAAGTGGTTTCTCCTGGGGTCCTGGGTTGAAACATCTTTTAATGGTCTTTTTTAAGTGTATACATTCATTAGAGTATGTTTTATTGTACATAATGAAAAAACAAATCCTCTTGTATCTAATGAATAGACTTTATGTCATGAATTTAAATAAATGGAGGTGCCTGTAAACAGGATTTATATTGAGCACCATAAAACAGAAGCATTTACTTAAAGCGCTGTTTGAAAGTATTTCACTTGATAAACTAAAGCTATCCTTTTATTATGATGTCAAATACTTACCATGTGCGTGTTTATAAAGAGGGACAAATGCACCTTCTAAATATTAAGGGAATGTGTCCCTTGCATCCCACTGGAAATCTCCACCTATGACTGAGACAATGTTTTACATATGGCCCCGATCAACTTCACAGTTTTTGCATGGAAAAACCTCTGAATGCTCTGAGATGACTAAATGAGGCGTTCAGCAGATGGCCACAGAGGGTGGCAGCCCCTCAGAGAAAGACATAAATGGATGCAGTTGTTTTGGTATCTAATATGACAACCATTGAACAAACAGTCTGATGAGGGTTTAGTGATGTTTCGCCTTCCTGTTTGCACCACACAGAGTGTGAGTGGAGTGCCGGCAGGGATAAGTGCTGCAAAGCCTGAGATAGTTAGTATTGAAAATCTGTATGCAGCATGTGCAGATAGACCCCAGGTGGTTCTCAAGCACCTGCCCTTTTGGCCTCTGACTCGATAAGTGCCCTCTTTGCAAGACTTTTGTCTTGGATTTCTTTCTCTGCTTTTATATTTTAGTGTTTTTTAAATTCAAATTTTGCGTCTTTTTTAGTCCAAGGTAATTTTGTCTGTTCGTTTTGTGTTGCTTCATTGTCGTTTTGTGTGTCTTTGTGGTTGTTTCGTGACTCTTTGTAGTCATTTTGTGTCTCTGTGGTTGCATTGTCTCTCTCTGAGGTAATTTTGTGTCTTATTTGGTCATTTTGTGTTCCTTTATGGTCATTTGTGACCTTTTATAATCGATTTGTGTCTCTTCATGTTTGTTCTGTCTGTTTTTAGAGTTATTATGTCTCTCTTGGTGGCATTTTGAGTCTCCTCCTGCTCAGTATGTGTTATCTGAGGGACATTTTTGCATGTGAAGGCCAGGGGCCTGACACTTGACCAGTAGACCCAGCCATTAATCCATCCATGGAAAGAACTTACTATATATTTTATAGTTTTACTGAGAAACAGACCCCAATTGTGTTTTGCATCTCATGAAAAACATCTCATTGAGCTCTCTGCTCTTCACAAAGGATGCCAATATATTCCTGTGCACTGCTGAGCGCCCCGCTGCTTCAAACTTCATAAGGAGTTATTTTGGTTCCACCTAGTGGTCGCCTTGAGTATAACCACTGCACATTATTTCTCAGGTTTACTGCCCTGACATGTAGCTGTAAGTTTGTATGAGCTATGGGACATTCTCCTTGATTAGACTTGATTAGAGCACACTTTACTGCCTCCCAAATCAAGCTAGTGTCCCGTTAATGTAATTGAGTCAAATGACGAAGGGCTGACTCAACAAATGAGTAACTGCTACCAATTAAACAAATGGACTTCACTGACTGGACAGTGATGAAAATGTTGTGCTGTGACAAGACCGGGAGCTGGAGGCCAATAATAGTCATCTTTTATGTTCTAAAAGATGTGAGAAGCATAAATATACGTCTCTCTAACTAATACCATTAATTAATCCTTAACACAGGATCAATAACAGAAACACAGACATGTGTAAAAGGTCATTGGTCTTTGGTTTAATTGGTATTACAGTACAAACAGTAAAACAAGGCACTGCGGTCAGTCAGTGAAATGTGAAGACCAAGAAAGAAGACAAGATACGGAAGTCATCAACAGGATAAAGCGCTCATAATGTGGAATAAAGACAGAGCTGGATGCTGTTCTGATTGTCTTTTACTCGCCTCCGCACAGCTCCAGGAGGATTTTGCGGTAGTCACCAGATGTATCTCCCTGTGTGGTGAGACAAAGAGCTGTGAGACTTCAAAGGACCGGCGTAGGGAACAACTGCGATCAGTCTCATTAAGCAAAGCTGATAACAAACACTAAGATATTCAGATTCCAAGGCTTCAGGAAAACAAGATATTACTCATATGTTTGTAACTAATCAAATTAAATGACAGAAATGATGAATTTAAGTCGTCAAAGTTGAAACCTACATAAAGGGTTTACATCAAGTTAGAGGTCCAATTATTACTGTATCACAGCTGATGTATTGCAGAGCTTTTGCTGATTATAGTACTTCCCGGCCCCCGTTTTTAGTGCCTCACCTTGATGAAGGAGTGGAGAGTCTTGCCATACATCTTCAGGAACTGCGCCTTAATGTCCAACATGTCAATCTCCGCCCGGGCAACCATTATTCTGATGAGGACACTATCTGTAGTGCCCAGGCCCTGATGAACGACAGAAAGTGAGTTCATATGGCTATCGCTAGAGTTTGTCCCTGCTTGATTTTAACTACATTAAGTATGATAGCAGCCTGCTTTTCTCATGTAGGAACTGTAATTGTGTGTATTAATAACCACACACTAACCAAATTGGGTCAATCACGGTACCCAGCAGTGGGTCAGTCTAACACTGACAACCCACAAACCCTGAAAATGGGTCAGGAGCTTGACCTGGTATTTTCCCCAGGTGTAATAAAGTAAATGAAAACACGATATATTTACACACAAACGGTCACAAACAATTTTATGTGTAGTGACTTCGTAGTACAGTTTAGTAACTCCATTACAAGCATGAAATATTTACCTTCATTGATTTGTATAATCGCTCTGCAAAGAACGCTGGCTTGCTCCTTAGACATTTCACTGTAAAGCAAAAACAAATCCCAGCACATGAGGTACACGGTCGTCACAACATGATTACAATAAAGTCAGCTGTTTAAGTGCATATATGCTCTGTGTTTTTAAAGTTGCTTGTATCTAATGAAAGGCCATTTAAGTTAATATTATATAAATTAAAACAAAAATAAATATGCCTGCAAAATAAATAAATATGACTTTGAAATAAATTCATGAGGCAATTAATATATAAATAAATGTAAAGGGGAATATATTAATGACTCATAGAGTAAATACATTTTTAAAAAGTTTGTTATTTTAAAATAGACATTTTTCAAAGGACTACCTCTATTTAAGGGGACTTTTATTCTGTAATTTCACATTTATTCATTTATTTCAGAGGACTTCTTTCAAAATAATGTGACCTTGTAGATTCTGAAGCAGCATCACTGACGTACAAAGCATACAGTAGTATGTTGCCAGACTGTATCAAGAGGTTGTTTCAAATATGACAATGTCAGTATGAACTGAAAGGAATCTGTATGTTCACAAAAACAAAGAGCGGAGCAAATGTAGAACAAAGATGTGTTTCAGTATATGGAGTAAATGTATGGAATGGGTTGGAAACAGAAATCAAAGTGTGTATTACACACATTCGATTTAAACAGTTATTTTAACACAAGATGATTAACAAATATAGAACTAAAGTATGAACACCAACATGTACATGAAATGTGTTTGGGATATTTTGGCAGACAATAGGCCTATAAAATGTATATATACTTAGTTTCTGTCAGTTTCTTATTGCTCTGTATAATTTAAAGGGAGCTGGTAAAAACTTTTAGGTTTTCAGTTGAGCTGAGTTATAAGTTGGAAAATGACTGAAATAAACTAATCTAAACTAAACTAAATATGGAATTGTAAAATAAAAGTCCCCTGAAATAAATGAAAATAATCCTTTGAAAAATGTCCCACTTGAAATAAAAACCTGTTTATTTATTTATTTACTTAGCTATATTGGTTCATTTACATTTACACTGAGTAAATGTATTTAAATTAATAAAAATGCTTATGAAATGATTGAATAAATAAATACACCTATGAGAGAAATTTTGAAATAAATAAATGAGGCAATAAATATATAATTAAATGTTAACATAAATATATAAATGAATCATTATAGTAAAAAATAGAGGTTATTTTAAAACCGACGTTTTTCAGAGAATCAATTTCATTTATTTCAAAGGACTTTTTATTTCATAATTTCACATTTATTTATTTCAGGGGACTTTTACTTCATAATAATGTGAAATAAATGTGAGATTATAAAATAACAGTGCCCTGAAATAAATAAAAGTAGTCCATTGAAAAATGTCCTTTTTCAAATAACCTTTTATTAATTTATTGAACTATACCGATTCATTTATACTTCATTTATTTATATATTTTTTTGCCTCATTTATTTATTTAAGGATTGATTTTATAGGCATATATATTTATTTCACAGGCACATTTTTATCCATGTATTTATTTAATTAATTCTTCATCTAAAATTGACTCAAAATGGCATTCCGTACCGTCTTGACACACAGAAGGTGGACAAAATAAAACAATTAATGGAACACACCAACAAATGCATTAGACTGAACAGGTATTTCAATTTTTTGGAGCCACCATACAGAGCTTTAACAGCCATGTGTATTAAGCTAAAAACAGTTCTTAATTGCTCTTAATTGTTTTAGATTTTGGTGACATCTTTGGTCCCAGCCCGTCACTGCAGTGTGTGTTTCTCCACTATAAGCTCTATACTACACGGTATTAACTTTTATTTTCTGGCTGTAAATTTTGAGTTTGTGGCTTTGTTTGTGCTCATTTGCACGTGACTGTTGACAGCTTTCCCAACAGATGTCTATTTGATGGAGCGTGTCACAGCAGAAACAGACCTATGGCCAGAAAGACGTCCTCCAGACAGCCAGACATCTCCCTCTTAATGCTGTCCTCAATGTCTCTCCCAGAGATCTTCTGATACTCCTCGAATACTGAAGGAAGAAAACAACAAGATTTATGGAAACAATGAGAATAAAATTATCAGACTGTCACACAGTGTCATGACTCTACACACTACATGAATGAAGATGAAAGTAATTTAACAAAGAGAGTGTCTGCTCCTCAAACAGCCACAGAGGGTCAGTAAAATCCCCCAAATCTACTACACGACCTCTGTAGCCAGTTTAAGTAAAGTGAAGTATTTTCATGCAGCACACTAATAACAGAAGTGTGCATTAGATTTTAACATGATGTTTGTGAACATGCTGAAACAGTACCTCGCATCAGATGGTTTCGGTTCCTCACACAAAGCACCGTGAGGAATTTAACCTCGTCCGTGCCCCATCGAGCCTCTCCAGCCTCGTAGATTTCCTGTAATCAGAAACGTCAAAAAACTGGAAGTCATAATTGAAACACTTTCATTTAGAGAACCTGAACTCTTGCCTTGGCATCCTGAACAGCCTGGGCCTCGTCCACATTGTTGCTTTCATCCCGTCCAGCCTGCAAAGCAGAAGACACAAAAGTGAAGACAATAACACAGAAAAAGAAGTGTGTTTTATGATGCAGAAGGGACTACTACTTCCTCTTCCCTACACAGCTGACAAAGATTTCACCATAAGTTCCTATTGACATTTTACAAGTCATCTTGTGTGTCAAATGTAAGACATAAATTTATCTGCTGACGCTTTCCTGCAAGATACAAGGAAGTGAATACTCATACTCTAGTTTTGAGGCCTTACTTAACTTTAAATTGAATTTTAATCAACATTTTATGTAATCTATTTTTACATGACCTCTGTGATGTGCCATTAAATTCCCACTGGGCCAAGCTAAAAGAGGTTATTGTTGAACGTTTGCTCACTGTGAGTAAAGAGACCAGAACCCTCTGAAACATTCCTGATGTGTCCCCACACACAGCATCCTCCAGGTCCTTGCCATATTCTGCCATGAAAAACATGATAAAGAAATAAAAATGGGGGCAGAAAATTAACAGAAACACAGCCACCACATTGTATATGGCTTTCTATATAAGATAAGTAAAACTAATGAGCAAATATTACAACAGTTTCATTAATATTCACTGTCATGATCTATATTCATCAACCATGCTGATATAATTGGCACAAAGCACATACATCTGACACAAAGCACTACAAAATAACAATTGCACCAATTGAAGATGTTTAAAAACCACTTTGAAAATACTTGCCGACTGCCGCCACTGCCACCAAAGTAGAACAAATTAGCAAACAATAAACTGCCACAGAGAGCAGTGATGGCTTTAATGAATAATTTATTGCAGCTGCTGCTTTCTAATAACGGATGCCATTGCATTTCTAAACAAAGAACAAAGAGGCTCAGCTACTGATACACAATATCAGATATCATACACAATGCATAGGCGCCAGCAGACGCTGAGACGCACCGTGACCTGATGTCAGAAATGCTATTCATAGATGTGGCACACTTACCTTTCTTGTAGAACGCATTGATGGTTTTTATTTCAGCGTTTGACCTTGAGGCGAGAATATCGATGAGACAGGCCTCTTCTGTTCCAGCACCCTGATGATGGACGGATATGGATATGTGTTAAAAACAAGATATGGAGACATGATTACAGAAATGTGGCTTAAAGATATGTTGGGCAATATTCTATATTTTTGTTACTGTCAAAAAATTCCATAAAAAGACCGACAATGGTTTAGTCCATCTCTAAAAACTTTGGAACTTTCTTACCCTGTCTGTGGCTCTCAGCCTTAAGCCCGTTTGTCTTACACGTACTGAGGACATGTCACCAGTCCATGTCACCAGTCTATTAGTGACTTTGAAAATACTTTGCAAAATCTTAGTGTGTGACTAAAACGGACATTACCTTTAGATGTGAAATGGTATCAGACTTTTGTCTTTGCAAAGACTGACGATCTTGCAGGTTCACTATTTGCAAGACTACAACTCGACTCCTTTTGAGATTATTTCCCATCCTGCTCCTGGTGGAAACTATTACACCAAACTCCCTTTAAGAAATATGACATATAAACAATTCCTTATTTGTACGCAAAAAGTTGTAACTCCAGAAACACAAGATAAAAGGCATTATATGTCTACGGTACCAGCCTCCTTGGTTAGCGCTGCTATTTTAGCATGAGAAGCAAACTGTTTCAAAACTCTCACTAAAATAAGTGCTGGTTGGCAGATCAAATACACATTGAATTAAACGTGACTCTTTCACAACTCGATATTATCAAAATTCAACATAAATTCATTTTAGTCTTTTTATATTTTTTAAACAGTGCCTATGTTTCAAACAATGTCCTGGAAATGAATTTTGCATGATATTTAATTTAACTTATTCACACACTGTGGCTCTTACACACTTTCTTGAGTCCTCCCTGGAGTCCCCTCCATGTTTACGGTCTACCCCGTTTGCTGCTCCTGGTTACTGAACTTCAGTATTAGCATGATCCAAGACTAAAAACTCACAATAATATTAAACATGTTTGATTTTGTCTGAACTTAATCAAGAATTTCCTTAAACAGCAGGGCACTGTAGTTTTTAGCAAGCGTTATTAAAACAGGAGTAAATTGTGTGTTTCCTGGGGACTATTTTCAGCTGCGGATTAATACACATTCAATGCAATAATGAGTATTTACAGCCGCATAAATGTGTATGGGGAATTGACACAAATAAATCACAGTGCCCAGGTTCATTGTAATGACAGGACATGTCACACACTGCAACAGTGAGTCTGATTGAAGTGTTTCTGGACAACAATTAACCTCTATAGCACAGAAGAATAAAATCAGGCTATGGACATACAGACAATATCTGTTAGTTTTGGTCTTTTTCTGGAATTTATTGACAAGAGGAAAATATATACCATCACTAGACTTATCCTAAACTCTGACCTTCATTGCACTTCTCAGCTCAAAGGCATCATACACAGGCGCCAGCATCAGCAGACCGAGAACAACGCTCCTGAAGTTCCCACTCAGCTCTGAGGACAGCTCATCAGCCAGGTCCTGTAGGAGGAGGGGAACAGATGGATTAACAGGATAACAGTCCACCAGTCGTTCTCAGTACTTCACTAATTTAACCATGAGCAGCATCTGTAATCAAATCTAATTATCTTTGACATTACATTAAGTAAATCTTGGCTTTATGTTTGAGTCTTGTTCCGCCAACGTGGACATGAGTCCTGACTTCACACATTCCAGCAGCAGGGCTTGTGTCTCCGCTAGAGGGTGTGGTTGCTGGACACAGTCATGTGAAGCTGCTCCACACAGCTCTCCTGTGTAACCCCATGTGGGCGTCGCTGTGTGCAACATGACTCACTCTTTCTGCTTGCGAGGATATCTCTCAACATCTTTTTTTCTGCAGCTCTGCAATGGAACTTTCAGATGACTTTATCGACCTCTTACCAGACACCACACAGTGGGCTGGTTATTATCTCATTATGTCAATACCATAAACATGCCAGACTTCCCTTTCTGTTAATATATTGATCCACATAATCATGAAACAAAGAAGCAGTCAGTGGGAAGCACACCTCTGTGGGTTCAATAAACTGTTTCTTTTATGGAGGGGAACATTCCCCTTTCCTACAGAGTACAAGGCCCTCTGTGTCCTGCTGTTTGTTTACAGGGGGTACTAATTTCTGCTTTACAATTAATGGTTAACTTACACATCAACAGCACCATGTTAGCACAGCAACCTTAGCTGGAAGACTGATGACAGCATACACAATGGAATAAGCAGTTTAGAGATGACACACCCACTGCTGCTGCCAATAGTCTCCATCAGGGCTGCTTTTTTTAATTCTTCTGGGTCTCCAGCTGTACTTTATTTGCTTCCTCTGCTCCATGTATGCTGGTTAATAGTGGAAAAACATTCCCAAATAGACCCTGTTTTCTGCCTTAGAGTGCAGTGCAGTCAAAGCACTCACCTTTCCCACTGCTTGCTTATAGGCCTCTTTGATGCGCTGCCTTTGGGCGATAGTGCGGTGTGCTAGGACCTCGATGATAGCTGCCTCATCAGTACCTGCAAGAAACAATACAATATAGAATCTTATAACCTTTACCAATATTCATCTTAAATGTCTAAAATGGTGCGGATCATACATTCCTATCATTGGAGGTCAGTTTAAGGCGAAGGTTTCAGCCCATAGACACAGAATGAGAGTAGAACAGACATTCCCAAACAAATCAACGTGGCAGGATGGCCAGAGAGATGGCCATTTTATGTGCAACATTGCCATTGCAACCACTGTGAGACATGTATAGTTGCAGCCATGTTTTGTTTGAAGCCAACACGACATGCCACTACAAACTGGGCCCATCAGTACAAGCGAAATCCACCTACTCAACAGTTACTTGAAGCCTGCTACAATGGCACGTTGGCCAAACGTGGCAATAATCCACTTTATTCATTATACATGAAGACAGGATTCCCCTCTTAAGTAATGACACGTAACCCTTGCCCTGACCTTAACCACCTGTCTTTTAACCTGACACTCAAAACACTAACTCAGCATATTCTTCAGGTCCTTCGTTTCCGTACCAAGGAACAAAGGGGGCTGTTCATGGACTGATGGTGGGCAGGTCATGCAGCTGCTCCAGCCAAAGCTACACCGGTAAACCTCGGTATAAACTTCCGTATAAACAAACCGATATGCGGCAAGTGTCGAACCCACTGAGGTGAGGTTTTGCAGTATCAACCAAACGAGCAGTGGTGTTGTATGTTATCAATCCATTACTTTTACAATATCACTTTAACTGTTTCTTTTATTGCCTTTAATTGTTTGTTTGTTGGGACTTAATGTACTGTAGCTGCCTCTGAAGAAGGAGTGAGAGCTGCCGCTCAGCAAACAGCTGAGAGGCAGAGACTGCAGGGATTAACAGCAAGCAGATCTGCATGTTTTTACATCTAACTTAGTGAATTGATGGTACTGAAAAGATGATTAAGACGGTTTTGGTGAGTTTTATTTTGTATTTTTTATTTTGAATGAAGTGTGTTTTACGATGAGTTAACAAGGCAGCCAAGCTAACGTTAGTCTAAGGCAGGTGGAAGAGAGATATTTGGATTGGTGTGGGGTTGTATTTTTCTGTTTATGAGGGAAAATAGGTGCAACAATAGGCCAAAACAGTTCTTAAACTAGTGAGTGTGACACAGTTTACAGCACCACTGACGTGCATTGTCATAATAACAACTAACAACAATTGCCATTTTATTTTCAACTAGTCAAAGGATCACAGCAAACAGTTCAATGTCACATCTGTTTATTCTGTTTCTATGCTTCAGCCCTAATGTGTAGCACATAGGATCAGGCACCACCTCAGCAACCCTGGAGATGAACCTAACACACAGCTGTTTGTTGGCATCAGCATGGAAACCATCTGTTTGCAATCGAGCTCAAACAAGAGTCAGGGGAAGATGATTATGCGAGCAAACCCTAACAACATCAACATTCCTCGCCATTCATTTGCTGATAGGTGCCTGCTACATGCTCCTGGATGTTTGTCAGGACGTCTTTGAGTGACAGATACCCATCAGCACTGCTTCAAAACAGTGCAACCCATAATGAGATTACTATTTTACTTCCTGCTTGTTCAGCAAAGTCAAGATTAATCCTCCCTCCATATCAGGGGTGAAGAGGAAGCTTTACGACACAGTGGGCAGAGGTGAGGCAAAGTACAAGGACGCGCTCAGCACAATGAATGGACTATGAAAACTCTTAGCTGCCATGACAACACAAGCACTGAGCAACATGGAATTTAGTTTTCAAACTTTCCTGGACGAGAGACACTCAAGAAAAGAATATTTCTTCCCTTTGGAGGTTAAATCTTAATGACATGTTCAAACCTATCTTTAGCTAATGATGGTTTCTGGATGACAGCGGCTGGATCACTTACCGACTCCCTTCATGGCTCCTCGAAGACGCTGGGCATCTGCTTCTGCGTCAAAACCAGACGCCTCTTTCACTGTGCCACGGTTTCCGATCTGCATGTAATTGACAAGATTACAACCACTTATCTATTTAACAGACATAAAATAGGCAGACACACAGATTAAAGTTCCCTTTCACTCAAAACTGTGCTTTGCTAATCGTTACTTTACTTGGATATTTGACCTTCACTGTGCTGAATCATGTGTGCAGTTTCTCTGTGCTCACCTTAAATCCGAGTTTAAAATAAGAGACAAAGTTTAAGGGCTGTGAATTTTCTTTTTCAGACACTCATCGCAAACTTGAGTGCATCTCTTCTTAGATCTGGTCAAATTTAAAACTGCAATAATCATGTTTAAAGCGAGAAATAATCTACTTCCGGGCCACATTCAAAAAATGGTTTGCTACAGGGAGGGGGGGGGGGGCTTATAATTTAAGAGGAGAATTTCATTTTAAAAACAATGTGTTCGTACAACTAAGAAGAGTCTTTGTATTTCAGTGTGTGGAGTGGACCTTTGGAGTGGGCTGCATGATGAGTTTAAAACAAAGCACAAATAGAAATCAATTTCAGCAGATATATAGAAGGAAAGGTTGTGTTCGGGGAGTGCATATATATTTTGTAACACTGGGTGGCACTTAAACTGTAAATATACTGGGTTTATTACTTATTTATTTAATTGGGTGGTAAATAGACTGGGGATAGAAGTATATTAGTTGTAAATAAATTTGGGAAATTGTTGAAATAATTTATGAGTTAAAAGAAGAAATGTAAGAAAGAGGTAGGGACATGAAGTTTCATGTCTACCTATTCCTTTTCAGACACTGTGATCTCTGTCTTGTTTGTTTTTTAATTATGTTTCTTTCTTTATTTTCGGATTGAAATAAAGTCATTCATTCATATTAGGAGAATAATTTCCACAGTGTCATCATGTCACTGGAATTTCTATCTTTGATGTAATACGTTGATAAATATTGTTATTGAATACCATTTTCAAAAACTGACATTGAGAGCAATAACATTTAATTTTTTTTATGAAAAAGATAAATATAACAAGTCTTTAAGTTGACAATAATGACTTTTCTTTTCTTGGTTAATCACAAAGAACAGCAAACTGACTGTCATAAACATTAACAATAAGAGAGCAAAAAGCACAGCTGGTACTGATGTATCGATACTGCAGAAAATTAGTGCTGAAACTGCTAAATATTCAGTTACAATATATCAGTAAATCCATGTTTTTGACACAATATTTCCACAAGGGTATATAATTATACTTAAAATCAAAATCACAATGACCAAAAAGTTTTTTTTATATTGCTTAATGACATTAATTCAATAGGCATAAGTTTTTGTATTGAAGGGCTGTGCTGAGTGTCATTTTTTTACATTCTAACTTTCAATTTAGATTTTGTAATGCAGCTTCAAATACCTTTCATCATATTTAATGACATTATCACTCTAAAAATCCTCACACAAATCCTCAATTTGAAGAAAGTGATTCATCGGATTAAAAGAGTTTGTCTTTTTTATTAAACAAACTTTTCTTTCATGACTAAACGGAATTTTTAGTGCTGTTATATTGCCTCTAGACTGCCCCGTTAATATAGGTGTGTCCCTTTGTGTGCGGCAAGCAAGAAAGCAAACCAACAAATATGGACTGAAGCAGAATATTTTTAGATAAAAACATGTTGTGAATTCTGAAATTAATAACATCTATCTTTTTGCAACAAATTTTGCCTTTTGGACTTTATAACGCTCCAGAGTTGTAGGAAATGTTTGGATTACATGAGTCTGAAACAATCCTACGCAGCCACCACTGGAATTCTACAAATGGTATAAGGTAATACTACTAATAATAGAGTAATCTTTAATTGAAACTGTGGTGAAATGCCTGATTTAAAACAGAATAAATACACCTGGAACCAAAAAAATATTGAATTTGAATGCTGATTAGAATCCGATGAACAAAGCTTCAAACTATTCAGTGCAGCCCTAAAATAATGCATTCACACCACAATTTGTTTCCATGTTAAGATTAAACTAAACATGACAACAGACCTGACACACAAGTTGCAGCAGCAGTTGTGAATCACAGCAGTAAAATACATAACATAATAATAATAATAATAATAAAAGATTAAAATTTATGATATTTAACTGCCACCTCGCCCTGTTCACAACCAGGCACAAAAAAGCCGTCCAGTGTCCAGAGCAGAATCTCTACTGGTTATGCAAATAAATGTAAATGTTTATGACATGACCCGCAGCTATGGAACAGACTTACCGCTGCCATTGTAGGAGGAGTGAGGATTTCCAAACTGGAGGTGCAGAAAGCTGCAACAGAATAAATACATAATGATAGTTTGTCGCTTGCACAAGGACAGGTTTATCAAAACACATAAATGAGTGATTATCTGCAGCTTCAGGTTTATGGGCAGGGAAATGTAAACATCTCTCATGTGTCTAACAAGGGTGTAAAAAATATTGGGATTTTACAGAGAGTAAGACAAATTTCGTCAAGAAAAACCTTCTGGATGTGTATTATTTTATCATTTATCCTTTCACAGCTTTCACAACAAATACAGTGTGGGCAAGGCCACATACTGTCCAAGTTGTTTGCAGGTGGGCCAGACAAGTAAAACCATTGCATACTATCCTCTAAAGAACAAACACCTCCAAATTTTTCACGCTTTTTTGTTTGAAGAAGTACCTTTTAAAAACACTAATCCACTTACAAAACAGACGGCAAACAGCCTGTGATGTCTTCAGAAGAATAAATAACAATTTCCACGGTCTACTACTCACTGTCATTACATGTGCATTTGTCTATACAGCTCCTCCCCTGTGCAGTAATGCCTGACATCACCACACCAAACTAAAGTGAAAGAAAAGAACTGTATTCTGGTCGGGGTGGAGAAGCCTCTGAAGCAGCATTTTACATGAAGAAAGCTACTCAGTGTTTCAAAACTAACTCTTAGCCTTCACAATTGCATCACTATTAGGTGTGCAAGGTCATCCAGTGGGCCAGATTGGACCCTTTGGCTGGCCAGTTCTGGCCCCCGGGCCGTATCTTTGACACCCCTGCTGTAATCCGTATTTTTAATCACAAAAAAAAGACAAAAAAAAAAAGAAAAGAAAAAGTTGTGATGGTCACTAACTGTAGCTGGATTGCTCATACTGCACCATTAGAGTTATTAAACATATTTGACATGAACAAACGTTAGATAGGTGCTTTTGCATTTCAGTTTCTTAACACTTCACTTCTCGTTTCCTTTCAAAGTGTCTTTGTAATCAGGTCTCCACTGTTAACACACTTTGTAGCCAGTTTAACAGAACTAACCAGTTTTCAATGAGGCACAGAGGTCTAATTATATAGAACAGCTTTCCCTGTTTTTTTATCTCTTGCATGTCTTTTCTTTCTTTTAGATATTTTAAAATACTTAAGTCTGTTTGTATATTGGTAGCATATACAGCTGTCTTTAACCCTCTGGAGTCGACGGATGCGCGGGTGTGTCCAAATCACACGACCGATTTAAGATGACGTATAGCAGCAAGACGCAGCTTTACTGAGTCTCTATTTCAACTTGTATCGAAAATGCGAACTTCAAACTATATACCAGTGTTAAATTGTGTTGATAGGCAAAGTAAAACCAGACTTATGATAAATAATTTACGCCATGCTTTTTCCTGAGTATTGTCATCACGTTTGGTGGGCTTTTGGTGCAGGAAGAAACGGTATAAACGGGCTATTCTGAGGAAAGCGCTTGCAAGCAAAAAAGTTGGTGATGCTTTTTGTGTGATTTTAGGTCCAATGTGTTAATACAGTGTGTCAAAATGAAAAATAACTGTAAAGTCACACAGGTGAGGTTGTGCTGAAAAATCATTCATAGTTTTTTACTTTTCCTATTTAAAGTACTCTGCTTTTTTATGTTATTGTGTATTTTTATGCACAAATTTAGAAGGTCAGTTTTAAGCATGACCCTCCCTGACCTCTAATTAATATTCCATGCCCTTCATCATCTCAGAGAGGCTTTCCGTCACACACATTTGCCCAGGGGCTCTCTTGCGTTCCGCATCTGTGCTGGCGTCCCAGGAGCTAATCTCATTTCGCTCGTGTTTGTTTGGACACACCTGTAATTACTCTACTGAGAGCGAGGCTAGTGGAGTTTCACTCCTACCTGTTTTCCTGCAGGTGAGGATCGACTTACCCGCTGCTAGAGTTATCGTATATCTGTCAAAATCAATTTAGCTAAACACTTTTTGAAAAGGCTCGTTTAGGTTACAAGCCATGGAGCTGCAGAGGGATGGATGTCCCCAATCCTGATGTCTAACATTGACAAGACTGGATGTCTGTCATGGAATTTGACATTTGAGATATTTATGAATCAATAGTTGCCTGAACTCTGTATGTAGGTCAGCAGCCACACCTGAGTGGCTTGTGATGTAAATACAACATAGTGTTCTTCAGACACCTTACAGCATGTGTGTGGATCACAGACTGTAAATAAACACAAGGTGGATCCTGTTTCAACATCACAAATGGTGCAAGAATCGTGGAAATCCTCTTCTGAACATACAAAATGAGATAAATAGCTCCAGATATTATAACCTGCAACTGCACCAACACAGTGCATTTAAATCCACCTTAGTGTAAATGTATACATTGTCTAATTCAGGGCCTGGAGGACTTAAACATGAACATGTCAAACTTATATCCCGACTTTAATTTCAAATGCATTATTTAGTATACCCGTGTCTGCAGCTTTTCTTAACTGACGTCAGCAAGTTCATTGGAAATTGAGCAACAGTAGGAAAGGGTATTCCTCTGTAAGTTACAATTAAGGACTGAAAAACTTAGCACAAGAATTATGTAACTAAAGTCAGTGATGCAACTGACATTTACTCCCCAGAGTCAAAGTACAACTTCACAGTTTAATGTTGAGGTTAGCTGCGGTAGTAAAATGAACAGAGTGTTTCAGGAAGCAGAGCTCAGCTTCTTAACAGTTAACTTGGCGTGAAGTTAGAGGGCACACCCTGCAGACAGCCGCCCAACTGTCTGAGCTCTGCTCTGCCGAAACAAACCCCCCCAAAAAACACATTTAAAACACGTCTGACAGAAGTGTGAGCCGCAGCTTACCTGTCCTGGAAACAAACTACTCTGAGCTGAGCCCGTCAGGAGAGTAAAAGCGTCGAAAAAGAACTAGAGCTTATAACTCACAGCTGCTTCCACGTCCCACCCACTTGGATGCTAATTCTCAACAGGACCCTCCCGTCGTCGCGTGCACCTTAGGGCGCGCACACGAGGCAGTGCTGCGTTCACGGGATGTAGGCAGAGCGGGAAAACCTTCCTTCACGCATTTACTGTTACTCAGTAGACCCTGTGGTCACAGAAGTGGAATGTAGGCCTAAATGTAGGCCTTTCTACTATTCTACTTTCTACTATTTTAATTATTTGACTCAAACTGAAATTAATTTATAAAGTACATTTAAAAACAGCTCACGTTGACCAAAGTGCTGTATGAAAGGAGTAAAATGCTAAAAAAAAAAAACAAAGTATACATAGGAGAGACATAATTGTCAGGTACACAACTCACACATTTATAGACATAACACATACAGGCACACATCAGGGAAAATGAATAAAAGTAGGTTTGAGAGTGGACTTAAAAGAGTCAATGGTGGGGGCAGGGGCAGATCTGATTGGGAGGGGGATACTGTTCCACCGTTTGGGGGCAGACACAGCAAAGGCACAGCAAGATCACCCCTGAGCTTAAGTCTGGAGCATGGGACAGCCAGGAGCCCTAGGTCAACTGACCTGAGGGACCTGGGCGTGAAATAAGGGGTTAGAAGGTCTGCAATGTAGGATGGGGCCAGACCATTAAAGGGCTTTGTAAATCTTAAAGTCAACTCTGAACTTTACTGGCAGCCAGTGGAGAGATGCCAAAACAGGTGCGATGTGGTCTCTCCTCCGGGTACCTGTGAGGAGCCTAGCAGCGGTGTTCTGAACCAGCTGGAGGCAATACAAATGTACAGAGAGTTACAATAGTCTAAATGGGAGGAGATGAGAGCGTGGGTGACTATCTGCAGGTCTTTGAGGGAGAGACAGCTTTAGTTACTTAACAAATTATATACATACACATTACATCACAAATACAAACATACAGAGAGCTTAAATATATTCGTGGTTCAATCCCAAGAGGGAACCCGTCTGTGTGGAGTTTGCATGTTCTCCCCGTGTCAGCGTGGGTTTTCTCTGGGTACTCCTGCTTCCTCCCACAGTCCAAAGACATGCAGGTTAACTGGTGACTCTAAATTGTTGTAGGTGTGAATGTGAGTGTGAATGGTTGTCTGTCTCTATGTGTCAGCCCTGTGATAGTCTGGTGACCTGTCCAGGGTGTACCCTGCCTCTTGCCCCACCTCTCACCTTGTGTCAGCTGGGATAGGCTCCAGAGGATAAGCAGGTACAAAAATGGTTTGATAAATTAAGGCCCCAGCAACATATATACTGTATGTACAGCTGAAATGATAAGTCGATTAATCAGCTGTTCATTTTCTGTAACCCCCTGGTCCTGATACAGGATCGTGCTGGAGCCTATCCCACCTGTCATTGGGTGAGAGGCGGGGTACACCCTGGACAGGTCGTCTGACTACTACAGGGCTGACACATAGAGACAGACAACCATTCACACTCACATCAACACATACGGCCCATTTAGAGTCACCAGTTAACCTGCATGTCTTTGGACTGTGGGAGGAAGCCGGAGCACCCAGAGAAAACCCACGCCGACACGAGGAGAACATGCAAACTCTGCACAGAGGGGCTTGCCCACCCTGGACTTTGACTACGGAAGATAAATATAGGCCTACCAAAGCTATAACACTACAACGATAACTTTTCTCTTCTCGGTTAGTCGCAGAAAACAGCAGTTTTTGTAGTAAAACAACAATAAGAGAGAGCGAGAAAGTGCCGTTGATGCCACTGTATCGATAAAGCAAAAAAGTAGTAGTGAGATCGTTTCGAATATTCAGAATCAAAATGTATCGACAAATTGATATTTTTGATAACACTGAAACAAATATACAAAGAGTTTAAAGATATTATGTTGTTATAAATTAAACCACCCAACGGCATAAATAAGAAATGATGAGGTCAAATAATCAATTAGTTGATTAAGAGAAAATTATTTGTCAACATTTTAATATTTTTAGGCAAAAACATTTCATGGTTCCAGCTTCACAGATGTGAGGATTTACTACTTTTTCTTGTGATTTTTTATTATTATTTTTTTTTCATTTTTTTATTATTTTACTATTAATCCTAACCCAAGACAAGCATTGGGAAGGTGTCACTTTTCTTTCTGAGTAATTACGATGGGTATTTCTCCCTAAAATGTAAGTTCAGATTTATTACAAACCAAACAATCAAATGATTAAATGAGAAAATAATCAGCAGACTAATCCATAAGGGAAACAATCATTAGGTGCAGTCAGGGTGTTTCATTAACATTTGGGACTAATTACCCCAGGCCCCAAAAAGAGGAGGGATGTCAAAAAAGCCTGGAATGAAAAGTTTGATTGTGTTTGCAATGTTTTATTTCTTAGAAATTAGAGACATAACTTGAGTAAAACTGGCTGAATAAACCAGCTAAAAGACTGAGCTTTGTATAGAAGGAGTAGCGGAAGCTCTCTGAGGCCCCTGTCAGTCTTAAAGGTGCAAAATGGTTTACACCAACCCTGCACTAGGATTTCTTTCTGCAGTGGTGGCCCTAGCACATTTGGTGTCCTAGCCAAACCTTCCCACCTCAATGCAACCTCTGTGAGCTGTTTGTTGCGGCCACCAGAGGTAACAATAGCTAGCTCTCCTGCTGATTTCATGTTCTTTCTCACCACACACACGTAGTGTAGTGGTAGTTGAGTGGGCACCAGAGACCTGTTGTAGTTTTGACATGATAGCATACAGCGTATTTTGGGGTTCAAGTGACATCAGATAACTCACCCATCTCCCCCAGAGAGCAGGTAAAGTGTAGTAAGCTGGGGAGGGTGGCAGGAACCCAGAAAAAATGCCTCTCTATTATTTAGTAGGATTTGCTATGTAGTTATGTTGATGCAGCCTTATGTAACATTTCAGCAATAATATTAGTAATAGTATTAGTAAAAAATAATAAAAGATAAACATTTTGATTCAACAAAAAATGGATCAAGAGAGGAAGGGAGGGGGACCCAGAGAGACTGCTTATGCATAGGACCCAGAATTTGGTGCAGCCCCCCTGGTTGCAGTCCTACATCAGGGGCTGCAATAGCTCAGTACATAGGGACTTGGTCTTGGAACAAAATATGGAGCATGGACTGGTAGCTGGAGAGGTGCCAGTTCACCTCCTGTGCACCACCTTGGCACTCTTGAGCAAGGCACTGAATTCCCAACTGCTCTGTGCCTGTCCATGGGCAGCCCCCTCCCTTTGACATCCCCCCATTTAATGCATGTATAGGTCCTGTTTGTGCATTTGTGTGTGTGTGTGTATTTCGGGCCTGTGTGTACATGACAACAGTGTGATAAAAACTGAATTTCCCCTTCGGGATTAATAAAGTGCATCTTTAATCCAAACTGTGAAATAACTACCTCCACCTTAACAAACTACAACAGTAAATCATGCTTTTACACTGAGCGATTTGACTTGAACGCAGCATATGACCACACACTAAAGGGGGAGGGGAGGCTGCAGCTGCGCTCCGAACTACGTTACCCAGGATTCCGTCCGCGCGTCAACAGCAACAGCTAGGATGTTGCGATATCGCTGGCAGCCAAAGATTGCTGTGGTTGCAGAGATTAGGCTGCTGGGTTGAAACCTCTGCCTAATGTTTAGCTAGATGTCAAATTCCGCGGTTGTTCGCGAGCAGTCTCAACAGACGGAGGTTTTAGCTTCCTGTCGACTCTGCGCCTGTTTGTGTTGATGAACGGCTGCATCGCGCTAATGCGTTAGCTTACTAAAACCCCAGTTTTAATGTAAATGGAAGCAATTAAATAGCTCGACGGGCAGCTATGTGCCATCTAATGGTCGCTTCACTTGACTGAGGATGGAAAGACTATTTCGGGCGACGCTATCAGACAAGTTACACGTCGGATACATCGCTCCCGTGGACATTATCTTCAGAGGATAACCTGGATAACCTTACACGAAATGTCATAGCGCGTAAGTAGCTAGCACTTAGCTAGCTGGGTAATGGCTGGACGAGATGGAGAAGGACCTAATGTTATCATCAGCAGCAGCCGACCATGAACAGCTGGATGGATAGCTAAAGAAATACTTTCTCCGGAGATGCTTTAGCCTCCTGGGTGGTGTAATTCACTTACATAACAGCTAGTCGCAACCGCTCTAGCTATCACCAACTGGCTTGTGTTGGCAAGCAAATGGGAAATTTGCCACCAAAAATCTGGGTTGTCTCAACATCATAAGTGACAAAGGCATCGCTGCATGTTGTGAGGCTGCAGACAGACTTTGCTTGAAGCGTCAGATTTCGTGTACAGCCTGACCTGCGTTATCTATCAGTGCAATAATAAGGTGCACAGGAAACAGGCACTTCATCTGTGTGCCTGGGATTTGAAGCCGCAAACACTCCTCCTGTCATTTCGACACCATGAGGAAGTTCTTTGATTCTCGTCGGGAGTTGGTGAGCTCCGGGCCTGGTTCTGGAGGAGGGGGCAGCAGCTCTGGGTCCAGTCATGCAGGTGGAAATTTCATTGGCAGAGCCTTCACTGTCGGGCGGCACCAAGTCACTGTTGAGGAGATAATTGCTGAAGGTGAGAAGGGGTTGCACAGACCCAGTGATTCTGTGTGTTTGTTTTGTCCTCCATCATATTTCCATGCATGTTGCAAGCCAAATGCACGAGTCACAAGACACAGCAGGGATGTAACCTTATGCCATCCCCACAGAAATGATGCATCTATGTATCTTGGATACATAAATGCAAAGTAGAGGCCTGCTGCTTTGCCTCAGCTGTACTCTGACTAACACAACAGCTTCCTGTCTGCTGTTTCATGATTCAGAAGTGTGATTCAAGGAGATGGAGAGGTACCTGGTGCCGAGCAGTAGAGCAGGATCCCTTTCAAAATGAATAAAAGAAGGGTTCGTGTACAGTGCAAGCTGTGGATTACACATGATTGTTGGATTTGTTTAAAAGATAGCAGTGATAGCACTATTTGGCATCAGCACTGAATTCCTGAAGCTGAAGTGGAGGCCTGCACTTTGCCACAACAAAGTAATTTTACCCATCATT